ACAACAACAACAACAAACAAACCTTGCCATGGGTGAAAAATACTACTTTCATAAGAGACGAATACAGTTCATTGTGTGTCATACAGTCATGTACTTACTTGACCCTCAGAGTCCTTGCAGATACCATAAGATCACCTACCGGTAATCCCAAGTCTTACAGAAGAGAATTGTGTTGCTTATGTTGCTCCCCGCATGAGAAACACCTCGTTTCAAATGCATTGAGAGTGGGCTCAAAATAAGCAGAAGTTTAGTGACACAAAACTCACCCACAGATACACAAACACACGCACATACAACCAAACAAATAGAACTGGTTGGGTGATCACAGCACAAATATATTTCAGTATTTGGTTTTTCTCTTTGTTAACAATCCGTATGAAGATAAAAACAAAACAAAGCTGCCATTCCAGAGGGCAGTGAAGGAAGTTGTTTTCTCATAAAAGCCTAATGTGACTCAAGAGATAATGAGATTATTTCTCCTTTCGATAGTCTTATCACAGGTGCACAGAATAAGTTTTATATTTTGCTTTGTACTTGTATACGCTCTTCCTTTTGTTTGTTCACTTTTAAGAAATGAAAAGTTGTGTAAATAGTAGCTCTATCATTGCCAGGGTCCAATGCCACAAAAGTACACATTCCAATTCAAATGAAACCTAGTGGGTAGGCCAACAATCATTATTCATGTTTGTATTAGGAAATAATTTGATCACAGAGGAGTCAACTACCATTACATAAAACAGAATTGCACGAGAAAAAGAAAGACAATCCATGAAAATGCTGGATAAAATTGAATCCAATGAAAAAGCGTCTGAAGTAAGTCACAAATATTAGACAATTGATTTTTAGGACCTGTCTTTTGAAGGACAAGAACTGCACACAACACTAAATACTGACAGACACAATTGATTTTGCTAATTTAGTAGTTCCCTGGCAAGTAGACTAATGCATACAAAACTAATCTTAATTCTTATTTCACTCTTAGAATTATTCATGTTGCCAACACAGAAATGCGGTTAACCTTTATAATGAAAATAAATGTAATAATAACACATTACCTGAACATAGTAAAGACAATGTGAAAGACGTACATCATCAATTTTTTTAAAGTCGTGTACTGTATGCCAGAGTGTCCAATATTTGAAACACATGAACATATATGTGAATCTCATCTACAATTTCATACCATACCCAAAAATCAATATACCACAAGTAAAGCAAACATCTAATAATAATTAAATAATAATAATAATAATAAAATAAAATAAAATGATACATTTTTCTCCTCAACCTACATATATGCCAGTAAAACTTATAAGACCATTCAGTTTTGTTAAAAAGCATCATCAATGATACACTTAGTATGTATTCCTCACCTTTTGCCCCCGTTGATTTACTTGGAGCATCACCCTGCCCTGGAATCTGTCCTGACTGCAGCATTTGATGAATTTTCTCATACTCCTCCAAAGATTTTGCACCCAAAATAGCTTTCTGTAACAACAACATTGCAAAAACGGTTTAGAAAAAGCATTTATTTTTCCATTCTCGAACAAAAGGCACAAATAAACACTTTCACAGAAGAACACCACAGTCTTTACCACCTACGCAATTCTACTACGGAAAAACAAAGTATTCATTTCCTTGTACAGCGAAAACAAGATGAACAAAATTTTTGAAAATTGAGAATTTCAGCAAGAGCAGAAGAGCCCATATCTCTCAGTCGGCTCTCAAAATTGAATTTGTCCCCACACACTCCAGTGCGCGAAGAGGAAGCTCATCCATGCTTAATATATTCTGTTCACCTTTGGTCATACTGGAAACTGACTACTTTTGCGAAAATATGATTAAGAAAAATACCTTTTTAAAATTTTAAAAACAAAAAAGATGGTGCAGACGTTAGCTGTCTAAGATCCTTTTAAAAGTCTTTTTCTCATTCTTACATTTATGTCACAACCAGAACCAGACTTGTTCATCAACAATGGCTATATATTTATATACACATATGAGAATTACCCTGATTGCAGCTGCTTCCTGCTTCGTTGGACCAGTGGTTGCAACTCGTTGTGTCTGTAGATTTTCTCCTGGAGTGAAAGTTTTGGCCCCTTCATCACCGTTCTGAACATGTGCTGCTTGTGGTTGCTGCTGCGGCTGCTGCTGGACTTTCTTCTTCTTGTAAATTTTGGCTGCTGCTTCTCTTTCCTAGATTTTTTAAAAATTAAAAAAATTAAAGGGCAAAAAACTGCTTTGTCTTTCTAAAGTCATTAATCAGAGACTGGCAGAATTCTATACTTCATAATTATGTGCATCTGGTATTGACTCACTATTCTCACAACCACAACTTTTCCAACAATACTGCTTTGTCAGCTGGCTAGTGACCTCACATTCTCTAAGCTTCATCATATATTCTACTGACACAAGATAAAAGAAAAAAGACTTTTTTTTCCCCAACAGAAAAGAACAACCTTTGACTCCTTTGGGCAAGACTCCGTCATACCCAACTTTTCAAAATGGCATATGGCAGAGTCTTACACTATCACTAAGCAGTCACGTTGATTTCAGTTATAAGCAACTATAAATAACTAACAAGATGCTCGTTCTACTTGCAATAAAAAACATCTATTGTAGAGGGCAAGCTAAATAATTTTTTTTTCAAAACTGATATGCCAGACCATATTTTTGGTCAGTCCAGCAGCCCGTGAGTCTACACCATTTGGCCTCCATGTTATGCTTTAAAATGTGGAGAACCATCCACAGAAATATATACCTTTGGTCACATGCCTGGGTGGCCAATATCAGGTTTGAACATTTATTTAATTGTGTAGTTGGCATAAAAACTTCCTCTTATCATGTCAAACCCTTGGGATGAGCATGAAGTTGGCAGTGTAGCACGGTTCTAATGACGTCCTCTGTTAAATCGTCCTGACAGCCCAATTTTAATGGAAATTATTCTACAGTATGATAGCGTTTTGAAAGTATCTTTTTGTTGGTGAAAAACATGCACCGGTATTTTCGGCTCAGAGTCTTTTTACTTTGTTTCAGTAAAGGTTTTACAGTGCTCGCAACTGCATAAGGTCATATGAGCGCCAAAAAGTGGGATGTCAACAAAGAAGTCCTTACGGGGAATCAGGCTTACTCTAGCTTCAACAGCACAAAATCTGCTTCGACTATCAAGGCACCCCGGAAATAGCGGGTCACAAGAGTGTGACAAACATACAAAAGACGTAGAAGTCAAATGATGATAGTAAGGATAAGGAAAGAAAAAGCAGCAGTTCCCTGTTGCAGTTTAGGCAAATGGATCAGCCCATTTACAATTACAATTCTACTGTGTATAAGAACATGGTTAATGTCCTCCCTTTGGGAATGGCCTAAAGACACTTCAGACAGTAGCACCGCCCCAGGGGTGCTGAGAGTCTTTCTTTATCATGTCTTTCTCTCTCTTTCATTCACTCTTCATGTTGATTGTGAGCTTTTGCGTATTTGAACGTAAATGCGTGTTCATTATCTTTTTCAAAATGGATCAAAGTATTCAAATACTTTTTAAACTAGTATTTGTCTTAGCCAAAAATGCATTTAAGCAAACCATTCAAAACAGTGTAAAGATAAAATCAGAAACAGACTAGACATATATACAGTACTCAATGTTAATTCAAACAGACAGGAACCTCTTGGCAGATCATCGATAGTTCATCCTAATAGCAGTATTATAGGAGGTAGTAGAAGAACTAAAAACATAAAAGAAGATATACCTTTAACTTCACCCTGGTGAAGTCTAACACTCTTAAGGTTGGGACCTTGTGAATGACGTACAATCTGTAATTCTTTCGTGTAGTGACTGGGTTCCCCATTAAACTGAAAAGAAAGTAGCACTGATGAGATAAGCGACATAACTATGATATGAAACTACAACAATCAAAGCATCATAAAAGTGAAACTTATTTTGCATCTAAAAGGTCACAAAAGTCTGCAAGTGTTTGCACACCAATAATGTGCTCCAGGTTCCTATTACCTTTGCCCTTTAATTCTCATATCCAGCAAGTACACACTTGTTTTCAAAATTCTATTACACAGAGGTTTTCTTTCACAAAAGTTTTAAACTTTTAAATGTCCATTTTAGTGGATATTGTATCTATCTATACCAGCAAAGTAACTGCACCATACTGGCATAATTTTTTAAAGTATAGTATATGCAACTTTTTTATTTTACAGAAGGGCCAAAAAATTGAATATTGATATCAAGAAAACAACAAACTCTTTGCAAATACCCCAAGTCAGTATTTTTAAGAATACAGTTTTGATAATAACTTCCTTATTATTTTTAAAGCAAATGTTTTACTGGTAACAACATTCAGGTTTTTGGCTCACCCAATGAGGTTACAAATAGTAATAATTATAACCTCTTTGGGCTCTTCTGTAAATTTGTAAAAACTGCATGTATACTGTATTTTTTTTACATGACGGCAGCATAGGAGACCGGTGTTGCCAGACACAGGAGCCGATGTGGCAAGCATTGCATTCTGCATGCAGGGGTGAATGGACAATGCAGTACATAAATGTTTACTTATCCACAACATTATTGGTAAATATACATTAATTAACCCTGCCTTTACTCATGGAAAATGCTACCTAACCATGTTAGGAAAAGATCCCTGGTTCTATGAAGCCTGATTCGATGGCAGCCCAGTATGGGCCAGTTTCTGTTTTCCTTCAACTTATCTATAAGTTCCTTCTGGTATTTCCAGTTAGCAAATGGTAGAGGCACTCCAGGTAGATCGAGACAGTAAGTGGTCAATATTTCTTATTACTTCAGGGACCCACCTCAAATACTTGAGCGTTGTTATTGTGCTGAGAGGATCTAAATCTGCCAATTCCTTCAGACCATTATTCGTCAAAATTAAGGTCTCCAGGCTGGGCAGATTTTCTTGAAGATCTTCCGAGATTCGACTACACAACAAAAAAGGTGGGATGAGAAAGGATAAAAACATATGCAATATTGAAACTGATATAAATTGATGAATTAAATATTCATGACATTATTTGAACATAAAGCATTTAACTGTAGACTGGAATGCATGCCAGTTACAAAAGAGTCTAGTAATTTTAAGAGCAGGTAATTTGTTTACACATACATACATCTGAACTTGCAACTCGACAACAAATGTATTTTAATGTTTCATTTCATAAAAACATTCTGGAGCTCTAAATACAATAAACTGAAAATCCTTTCAGCTAAAGTCAGTTGCATGTGACAACATTAATAATTAAGTATCTAAATCCAAGCATATTTTACTTCAAAAACTTGCAGTACAAAAAAGACAAAACATGGATAACAAACCAAGTTTCTAATTAATGACAAGCAAAAGAAATTCAGCCGCAACAGTTTTGCAATGTAGCTAAAGCAGCATCTTATTAAAAAACTACACAGTGTTACATTAAAATACAGGACTTACACAATTCTGTTGTTGCTAAGTAAGATGTGTTTCAAACGTTTCAGCAATGGAAATTTGTCTAGCTTTCTGACATCGTTGTCTGTGAAATCAATGGTGTCAAACTGGTCCTAGAAAACAAAAAGCAAAAAAATCCAATTCATAAAGTATCACTGTACAACTGCAGTGACAGGATGGTGGGTACATCTATGCAAATCAAGACCCCTCCCCCCCCCCTCAAAGAAAAAACAGCAAATGTTTTCAGGACAAATTCTGATCTCATTCATACGGACTTTTAACCACTTTTTGTCACCATGGGGAGTGTGTTCCTGTCCCTGTCAGAACTGATCTTCAGTTAAGCTAGTTGACTAGGACGGTAGTCTAATCAGTCTCAGTGTCAGCGGACTCCCTTTCAGGTTCTGGCCCATTCATGACAAAAATTCAGACCCCAGAGTCCTCAATAGTGTCACCTTCCTCATCTTCTTCATCCTCATAATTTTTAACAACTTGCAAATCTGGGTCAAATCAAAAAGTGACATTTGCTGCCTTTTTTCCAGTCATTTCGGAGTTAACATTTTGTGGTTATCTGCTTTCATCTGCAATACTAGATCTGTGTTTATCAATAGCTTGTAAACCTAGCAGTAGAGTAATACTAAGAAATTAAGTACCCATAATATGCACATTTTTCATTGTCAAATACAAATCCATGCTGTGCTTAGCTCAATCTCCGTACAGTACAGTATAGAAGAATAAGAGCCAGATAAGCCTATGTAATATTTTGTAGATGATTAGAAACATCCAATTTTGTTAACTTCCATGACGTCCATGGTTCATTGCATCTTTGTGATGTACCATTAAAACCTTAAAGCAAAGGAGTTAACTGTAATTTTAGTTTCAACCAATACTAAAAATTCAACTTGGCTTTATAAACTATGTATCAAAATAGATCACAATTGAACCCTTCAAGTGAAATAAAACCTTTTAATCTATTACCACAGTAGCTGAAATGCCTTTCTCACTGCAATTCAAACTAACATCCAAAGAGAAAGGAATTAATACAAGTACAAAAGAGGAAAAAGAACAACCAAAGGAGCACGTGCATAACAAGGAAAGTATTAGATTGGAACCCACAGGGTAAAAGATCAAGGGGAAGACCACGTGGAACCTGGAGAAGAGCCCCGGAAATGGATGTACAGAAAAGTGGGAAGACATGGAGTGACATCAAGCGACTAGCCCAGGATAGGGAAAGGTGGAATATATTTGTTCCAGGCCTCTATCCTGATCCAGATTGAACCACTGAAACTAAGAATGTAGTAAGCTACATTTTATTGTTAAAAAACATCTCTCACAGATTAGTTCTTGATGCTGATACTAGTTCTTCAAACATTTTACAGTGTAACATGATTAACATAATATGAACACTACCATTCTACAATTAAGTATTCAGAGTATAAATCCCAGCTAAAATAAATACACACAAGGTTACAAATTTACAGTCCTAAATTTTCTCACCAGAGTAGCGCCCAAGTTTTCAATCACTGGTATCCTGTACCCTGAAAGAAGATGAGGAAAGAGAATTAGACTAACTGATAAAGCTACAAAGTTTGTAAAACTGGCATCGTAGCATACATCATCAACACATAAAGAATATAGGCCTACATTACTAGACATAATATAACATAAATTTGGAAACAGGTCTTGGTAAACGAATCATTTTGGTAATTGAAAAGAAGACAATACAGCACCAGTGAAAGTCAACATTTTACACCTTATAGGGGGTACCCATTAGCGCGATCGGGTCGGGTCCTTTTCTGGTGGTTTCAGTGCACACTACAACCCCGCCACGATTGTACCCTACGACTTGGAAGTTAAAGAAGAGAACCCTTTAACCTCAATGGCTTCCAGGGCTCCTTTTTGCAGTTCCCTGTTGCAGTGCTGTGACAGCTTGCAATCCCATAAACATGGGTTACACCGATAACTTTTTATTATCTTCTCTAAGTAGATGGACTCCATTATTGTCAATTGTGGATAGTATTTTGCGTGGAAATGCCCCACCTTGACATTCGTAGTGTCACCATGGACACAGGACTCAGCCTTGCTGTGATTGGCTGCGAACCACCCAATCATGCGACTCGCAGGCATGAAAACAAACGTGTTTGTTTTTAAAGGTCACCGACCAAGCCGATCGGTTTGTGCCGCAGGCTAGCCCCGACTACTAAATCGACCTGACAAAACCTGATCGTGCTAGTGGGCACCCCCTAATAGACAATAGACCAGAGGTCATCAGACGATAGCCTGCTGGCCCAGATCCTGCCTGTGAGGTCGGTTATCTGACCCGCTGTCATGCCATCATGTAGGGAAAAAAAATTGCATAAAAATGGAGCAATGGATGCTACTACAGAATTAAACAGACATTACATTGCATGGATTTCCTTTTTGGAATTGCTGAGGCTGATTGTGGGATGGTGAATAGTGTAAAAACAGGAAGTAAATCGACACCAACTGGGGTGTGGGTTTGGCATTTCTCGTATGTCTATGCCTACAAACGCAGCATCGATAACAGCAGTCAGTGAGTTAATCATTCCATTGAACCCAGCGAATTGAATAAGATTTTACAGACTTCATTAGTTTTAGCTGATGTACCACACTCTTGCTGCTTTGTTAGAGAAAGATTTGTCCTCGTCAACTAGAGGTGATATGAAACTATTTTTATAAGTGTACTTCAACACCCTCGCTTTCCAACGGGTCCCATATGTACGTTCAGCGTAACGTGAGCCATGATCTCCAAGTCCCGTATTTCTGCCACTGAAGTATGTGTTCGTGTCAGTCTGCTTAAGTGTTTGTGTTCATGTGTGGCCTACTTCTAGAACCGTCTGTGTTGGTTCAAAACCGAAGTGTACTTCTCGTTTAAAACACATCAAGTTGGTAGCTCTAGATGTACTTCCAATGAAATTTGAACAAGTTGACCCATATAAACATAAGGAATTCAAAAGGATAACCACGTAACAGCTTGATTTTTAACAAAATGACATTACCTGATAAAAAATAATCTGATAGTTTTGAAAACTATTGTACAAGTAAAAGGAAAAAAAGAGAGCAAAACATTCGGAAATTGATGTTCCTTTCAAACCCCAGATCGTTGGTTACAACAATAGCATCTAAAAAAAGCTTTTAAATTCGAATGGACATAATCACTCATAATGACTTTAATCGAGAGGTTATTCATGTATTGGCAAAACTTATAATTATAGAAAGTATAGGAAACTGTTGGAGATAGTCATAATAACAGAGACGACGGCCTAGCCACGTGGCTTTCCAAGTTTCCAAGGATCACCCCCGACCGTAAATTCATGGACAACATCAGAATCATAGATCTCTACATTCAGAAAAACATTTCTTTTGTGATTCCTTGAAAAAGTACGTCATAAGTTCTTAGAGGGCAGCTGATTAGGCTTACTTGGCTAATCTTTCATTATATAGAGGCCTGTCTAGTGTTTTACGGTACTTACGCGTGTCGCGCATCAGGCCTAGGTCTAACTAAACATTAAATGCAGTCACCCAAATACCAGTCAGAAACCTCTCAAAGATACATTTCCAGTGACCAATAAAAAAACCCGTCAGATGACAAAAGTGTGCCTTTGAGCTGAGCATGCTTTTGTACAGCGTGCGTTTAGGCGAAGACTAATGTATATATCTGGCAACTTGGTAACACATGTGTCACTTTTACGACAGCTACAGAGTTGAAAGTTGGCAAGTATTTGCAAAAAGATAGGTAGATCCCCACTACGGAGCCCGATTTTTTAATTTATTCATTTCCTGAATTTAGAAAAATATATTGGACAGAAAGTTCCCATCTTTCTTTGGCCTTTGTGATTATTCCACTGAGAAACGAAACAAATGTGCTTAGCTGTCCTTCACAGCATAAGTGCCAGAAGTGATATTCCGCTGGAAGTAGTGTCTCTCCGCCTAGGCTTTACAACACAAAAAAAAAACACCTTCTTATACCACCTACCCCCCTTTTTCAAAAGAAAACAAAAACCCTTTTGAATAAGCCCTATTTTTCTCCTTGACAATGGCAATGCGAGGCCGTTTTACACAGGTTTGACTGTGTATACAATTGCGTACGTATAGCAAAATTTTCAAAATTTGAATTTCTGTGTACGCAATTGCGTGCGTAAGAGACTCAGCCACATGGAGCTTACGAGAGCACACTACACTGGCTTCTGATTGGCTAAAATATCAATGAAACGACATCACGAGGACGATAGCCTACATTGGCTTCTGATTGTGATTGGCTAAAATGGACTACTAGGCCGCGAGTCATTTAGACTACATGTATCTATTTTAAAATGACTTGATTAACAAGGCACTAGAACAATATATGTATGTCCTATAGTTGACACAGGGGGTAGAAACTAGTGAACTGCTGCAGTTTTTATCTGTACCGATCTTTGCCTGGCCTCTGCTCTAAAATAGAGATCACCAGAAGACACTCGCTCGCTCAATGGTGACCTAGATTTCCGACTACATTCCACTAGGCCTAAGGTCAAAGTAATATTTCACCAAATTTGGTATGTGTACATACGTCACTATATACATTATACAGCCAATCAGAAGCCGGTGTAGTGTGCTCTCGTTAGATCCATGTGGCACAGCCAGGCTTTACAGTTAGACACTGCCTCTGTGATTTTGAAGACGTCGGTGTGTTCCTTTTACAGTGTAGAAGCCTTTTCATGGGTTATTATTTTCTTATAGTGCTTTTTTGTGATGGTGCAAGGCGAAACCCAGATCTAGATCGTCTGTTTATGCGTTGTACTTGTTCCAGATCAAATGTAGGGGATAATCCGGTTTTGGCCCAAGCGATTACTATGGAGTATTGGTTTTGGCTCCACCGAGCGTCTAAACGATTACTTTTCGAGTCTTTGCGCGGCGAGCGAGAGGGATGGCGCACAGCGAGAGAGAGAGGGGGAACACCGCGCTGTGTTGGGTGCTGGGTGCGTAGGGTCGACGATATGATAATTTACGTAATATAATATACTCCGGTTTTGGCCCCAGTTAGTAATGCCGAAGAAACAATAATAACAAAGGCGAAGAGAGAACTTGGCCAAAACCGGAGTATAGTATATATGGGCCGCTCTTTACAATTCTCTGGGCCTAACCCCAATAAGTAATAATTTTTAAAGCCCTTACTCGCTGCCAGACGACATGAGCAGCGACCACAACTTCCAATAGAGGTAAGTTTGTTAGATTTTTATGTATCAGCGAGCGAAGGTCTTTTTTACTTTTACATAAAATAATCTAGAAAACAATTATTATCAGGGGGCAAGCCCCCTGAAACCCCCTCAATTCTGACATTCTTAAATCATTATTTCGGGTACAGCCCCAATTCAATTGCTATTGTTTGTATTAGGCTATTAGTTCGTTGTTCATGCTTGCCCCCTTGCTCCTCTACTCTGGGTTTAGCCCCAATTCAAATTCAATTGCCATCAGTTCATGATGTTTCACACTCAGCTGTTAGTAGATCTTTCTAGGCCCCACTGAAACTGAAAAATAGCAGACAGCGCCGCATTCGCCTCTCTCTTCCACTTCCAGTTCCCCAGTCCGGGTTTGGTCCCACTACTAAGCCCACTTGTGGACAGCGCAGCGTCGCATTCGTAAGATCTATCGATCGCCTTGAGCAGGCTGCAGGCGAAAGAACTGCAGACAGTCACCTCTCTCCCGAATAAGACATCGATACCGAGTATAAAAGTCAGTATCGATATTGGAGTACTCTTGGGCTCTTGGGGCCAAAACCGGATAAATCAAAATGTAGACCAGCTTCCGTTCACATACAGTGCGTGCCGTAGGCCTACTGATCCCACAATGACTTGCCGATCGATGCTTTTGAGTCCCATCATCGAACGGGGTACCCAGCTAGAATAATAGTCTAGCATATAGATTTAGGTTAGGCCTAGATACGTGTCAAGATTGAAACAACAAAAAAGGGAGAAGGAGTTTCGAAGAGGGCTGGCCGACAAACAACACAGAAAAGAGGGGATTTTTTTCATGCGGCATATGCACCCTAACCCTACTAATTTTAACCCAAGGCACCCTATCCATAACCCTAACCCTAGTATAGTATAATCAATAAACCTTATCACGGTAAGTACCGGCCCTCTGCGGAACTCCTGCTAAACAAAGTACAGCAGAAGCCGCCCAAAACTGAAAAACTAAAAGTTCAAGTCGCTGGTTATCGGTAATAGGTAATATAGAGTCAAGTACACATTTTACTGTCTGAACTGGGTCAAGTTCTCACCTCTCAGATCTAACTCCCAATCCCTAACAGGATTGTGCTTCTGGGCAGACATGTTGATCAGTTGCGCTGTAAGCCGCACCATTTTTCCTTTTGTGTAAAGAGAACACCATACAAAAGTAATTTTATTTGTTACTGTTTTGGCATTGGACACCGCCGTTCTTACTCGAGTTTCGTTTTCTCGGCGTTCTAAAAGTCTGACTTCCTGTCCTGTTTGTCTTAAAGATAAAAGAAACGGAATAAAACCTAATGAGCTAGCCTAGGCTATTATTTTTGCCAAATTACCAAACAGCTAGGGGCTAGGTTTATTGAGAATGTTTTATGTTCTCCAAAAAAGAACATTCCTCATAAGAACCAGGTCCACGAAAGAACACGCTTTTACTAGCTATAGAAATCTACTCTGAAACTCGGTTTGGGCTTAGTTAACGGCATTAAACTTCTGTACCATATTTAGCGCAGGTTGGGATGATGAAAGGTAATGTATGTGGCGCTTGCATATTGAGCTTACATAAATCTAGGCCTACTATAGGCCTACTGCAAATGCACAGTTACTAGAACGTTTACCTAAAACCGCACGTAGGCGTAACTCAGCTGAGCAGGTCAATCGGTATGTGCCTTTCGATTTGTACAATCCTAGGCTTTCTGGGTTCAGAAAGCCAAAGTACAATCACTTAATGCTCCTCTGAAATGGTCAGAGACAGAGTGCCAGGTAAGCTATAATTATACTGATGTGTATAAAGGCACCTACATAATGACAAGATAACATTGTAAAGATTCGTTTTGCAGCTTCTGATTCTCATTTGTACCCAAAGCAGCTTATAATAATATAGGCACCCCTCAGACGTGCGCACGCACGCGCGCGGCCACACACACACACACACACACACACACACACACACACACACACACACACACACACACACAAACGCACGCACGCACACACACTCACACACACACACACACACACACACACACACATTTTTTAAAATTTTATACAAATACAGCAATACAGCGAACCTCTTTGCCGTCCCTAGGCGTCTGTCTGGATGACCTGCAGGTCTTAATTCCAAAATCAACGAGGAGCTGATCTAGCCTCTGCCCCTACCTAAGTTTTTTGCCCACTTTTTTGCTTTCAAAGGTGAAAAAACCCAAAGAACTTGTTGTTGACTTTAGAAAAAAGAAACTGCCCTTGCAGCCACTCGAAATTAAAAGTGAAAACGTCGAGCAAGTGTCAGATTATAAGTATTTATATAGGTGTTACAATAGACAACAAACTCAACTGGCGTGTCCACACATCTCTCCTGCATAAAAAGGAGAACAAAAGATTACTTTTTTCTAAGGAAGCTCGTGTATTTTAAAGTTGATAAAACATTGAGATATCCATATTCTATCATTCAATCATAGAAAGTATGATCATTTTTTTATAAACAACAGCATGGGCCGGGAACACAAGACAACAAAAGAAAAATCAAATCGATTAATACGGAAAGCATGTAAAATTTCAACATCTACATTCCCCTATTTGGATGAATTGTACTTAACAGATTGCACTAAAAAATTAATTCATCTTTTTAGACAACATCCATTGTTCCCTCAAATAAAAACATCTGTCAGAATGAAAAGACCTATAGGCTTCTGATCTGTAACTAAGAAAGATACAGAAGGTCATTTTTAACCACCAACCATCAACATTCTTCCGTCTTAACCATCTTGTTACAAGTATTCATATAATGACCTTAGAGCAGGCCTCAGAATAGCATTTAGTATGTATCTAGTTTAAGATTATTATTGTTTATTTTGCTGTTCGTTTATATTATGCATGTGACTGTAAGTGTAAGCCTACGTGTGTGTGCATGTTTGTGTGTTTGTGTGTGTGTGTGTGTGTGTGTGTGTGTGTGTGTGTGTGTGTGTGTGTGTGTGTGTGTGTGTGTGTGTGTGTGTGTGTGTGTGTGTGTGGGCGTACGTGGTGAAACACCAAACCAATAATTTGCCAGGATCTGAACAATAAAGATGTATCTTATCTTATCTTATCTTATCTTATCTTAAAATACATGTATACCGAAGAGCGCACCTTTGTTGTTAGCTTTCAACTTGCGCTGTAACATCCTGAGTCTGCTATTATATGCTGCCACTTATGCAATACATATAAACTTCTAAAGTGTGTAAACGAGAAAGATCCTAGCTCTTATCATTCGCTATCGGAGCACAGAAGTCAAATACAAGAGGGCGGGGGTGTCATTAGGCTTTTTATTGTTGTTGTCGTTGCTGTTGTTGTTGTTGGGTAGGGTGTTACTGGCAATTACTTCATCTGTTCTTTGTCTCTTATGTTTTTGCGTGCCTGTCTAATCTAACACTTCGTCCGTCATTCATTCGATGTTCTTTTTAACTCAGGTAAGCATCTCTCTCTCTCTCTCTCTCTCTCTCTCTCTCTCTCTCTCTCTCTCTCTCTCTCTCTCTCTCTCCCTCTCTCTCTCTCTCCCTCTCTCTCTCTCCCTCTCTCTCCCTCTCTCTCTCTCTCTCTCTCTCTCTCTCTCTCTCTCTCTCTCTCTCTCTCTCTCTCTCTCTCTCTCTCACCACTGATGACACGCGGGTGGTTAGAGTGCGCCACTGGTAAGCCCCGCTTATTTACTTTCCGTCTGTTTTTTGTTGTTTTTTTTGTCTGTTTTACTTTTTCTCAGCACTAAACGGCCACTATTCTGTCGACGTTCTTCTCTTTGCTCAACAAAACAAAGAAATGGGGATGACACCCTGCCTGTGTCTACCTTTGCCCTACCCCCCCCCCCTCTCCCCTCTCTCTCTCTCTCTCTCTCTCTCTCTCTCTCTCTCTCTCTCTCTCAACATCCTCGGTGATGACACCCTACCTGTGCCTACTGTGTACCATTACCCCACCTTACTACTGTTGCTTCGATTATTCTCTAACTTCTCTGCAATGATGTTGAATCGCTGACTGTTGACCTCTCTGGTTGTTGACCTTTTCTGACTCCTGATCTGACCTCCCACACTGTCGACTGCCCGAGACTGCTGTTGGCTTGCTCGATCACTGACCGCCCGGCCGCCTTTATCCGTTTGTTGACGCTTTGACTGTTCACTCCTCTTTCATGTTGACCTCACTGACCTGTTACCCCTCAAACTAATGACCCCTCTCACTTTGACATCATCGGCATCTGAGGTGCAGCGGTTAGGCGCTTCGCTGTCGCACGCAGGAAACCCGAGTTCGATTCCCGAGTGGGAAGAAATTTTTTTTCGAGTATCTCGGTTTGTCTGCTCGGATGTTGTATCCCTCTCTGCCATGGTTGGTCCAGGCAGGCAAGGTCAGACGCCTGCTTCCAGAATGATATCAATTGTATTGATCGGGGCGTAAAAACACGTACGTTTAAAAAAAAAAAGATACATGTATACTTAATCATTTTCATTGTTGACCGCACGTCTAATCGTGTCACCCTCTTGTTGACAACTTTACCCCTCCCCTTTCTCTCTTTCTCCTCCTCAACTGTTACCAGTTCAGTTATGCCAATTCAACCTTATAACCATTGATTGGAGGGCATTGCATGTAGTTCTTCATCCATTTGGCTTAGAACACTTTGATCGGATTTGACAGTTCGGAGGTTCCATGACTTAAATAACTTCGCAATGCTCATTAAGAAGCTATACCTATGATATGATACGCATTGCTATTCACAAAGTATATTCTCGCATCGTTGTCCACCAAGTGGAAAAGTGGTGTTCATTTTGTTACACGGCATAACTTATTTTGCCATATACTTATTATAGGCATGTAGATGATTTTAACACTTTGCTGTCACTTGGCACAATAATGCTACGGTGAAAAGTATCCGTTCCGGTCACCTGCGCCATGCAGCAGGCCCGAGAAGTCTGTTGCAGTCACTCTCCTGACTGGGTGATCATATTATGGGGCATTTTGTTTTGCTGGCTGTGTTTTTTACCATCGTATCCTTACGACGTGGATAACTCAGTGCCACCACTTTCCAAAGAGGAAATTTACTTGTTAATCCGATCCGTACGCTTTGCATCGTAGTCTGTCAAAAAGATGTATCGCTGTCTATAGCTGGGTGCTCATTCCAACCTGGGTGAAGTGAGGAAAATTCGTGTAAAGTGCCTTTCTCAGGGACACAACGTCCATTGGGCCACTGACGGGATTCGAACCCATGACCTTACGGGTGCGAGTCCGAGAGCCTATATATATATACTAGGCCACCGACGCCAAAAAGCAGGCCGTTGATCACTACCTCCGAGTCAAGTAAGATTCCGCCGTACGCAATTATGAAAAGTGACGTCACGTACTGTAGGCCTACCGTTTGGCGGAATGAGCAGTCGTTGTAGCTCATGGTCGCCGTGCACTATTTCCAGTTTTCATCTTTTTAACGGCATCTCATCTGAAAGATATTCTAGGTAATTAACTTTAACTCATGTGAATACGCTCTTAAACGTGCTCAGAGAACTTAGGCCCTATTCAATTATAAACCCCCCCCAAGAAATCATAATATTTATTTTAAAAAAAACAACACCCCCCAAAAAACGGTTGCACAAACAATACTCTAAAAGAACAAGCTGTTTGTTGAATAGCCTTGATTGAGTATTTTAGTTTCTACCATTCAAAAAAAGAAAAAAAAAAGAGGGAAAGAAAAAACAAACGAGAAATACCCAACAATAACGACAGAATGAAAAACAAATGAAAATCCCGTAAAGACCAAGTAATTATAATGGTACGCGAAACGATAATAAAGAAAAAAATAGACATAATTAATATGATAAATAAATTCATAAAATGACGTTACATGATCACTCGCAATATAACGTGTGGATCTAGATCTAAAGCAGTTATGACAGCAATTTTAATCTTTCGCCATCCATACTTATACTATCGCCATTTATCATAATTCTTTTGTATGTTTCTCACTCTCTTGTGAACTGCTATTTCTGGGGTGCCTTGATAGTCGAAGCCATAGATGTATGTCGAAGTAGACTTTGCGCCTTTGAGGCTAGAGAGATGAGCAGAGTACGTAAGCCTGATTCCCCGTTTGAACTCTTCTATTGACATCCATCCCTTGGTGCTCACATATTATGACCTTATGCATTTGCGAGCGCCGTAAAACCTTACTAAAACAAACAAAAGCATCATAAATAGCTTTTGAATATAAATGATTTATGGACAAAGAAAACGCGTTGGTGTGTGATTAAAGTAGCCCCTCATAAAAAACAATCAGAAACAACCCACACCTATGAGCCACGGCGGGGCCTTAATTATTAAACTTCATAATTGGCGTCCCTCTTGTTTTTGTCTCTTTATCGTTGCCTTTTCCCTCACCCGTCTAAAAGACGGTAGGCTAATTACTGCGTCGATATGCAAGCAAACCAACATAAGATAAATTCACATACACATGGCATTGGTACTAAACTGGCAAATATATTTCGAAGGGTTAATACGTAATAAAAACATATACTTGAGCAGAAACAAGAAGATACAACCTACAATATTAATGCTGGCCAAGCTGTTGCTCCCAAAATTGTTCCTTACTCAATTTTGTTTTGTGTGGACATGATAAAACGCGATACCATAAAAGTGTTCCACTGTGATGCATTCTCTTTCTCTCATTGGCTGGTTACCGTGTTTGTGTTTAGCGCTCGGGCTAAATCGGTAGACTCAAACAAAAGTGCACATGGTTCACCTGTGCGTGGTCACCTTGTTAGGGCGGATCGCGAGATCAACTCAAGTTCATGTAAATAAATAAACCAACAGAGATCTCGAGCTGTGTCGAGTGTCGAGACGTCATCTGGATATTATTCTGGTTTTCCTTATGAACTCTTGTCTTGGATTGTGCTTAGAACTTGATAGGAAATGAACATTCTCTTTCGAAATTCTTCGCCACCAAGGATTAATTATAATTTTGACTTCGGTCGTCGATTCTAGTTCAGTTCAGAATCTTGAGTGAGCCGAAGCCGAAGTGATAAGAGACGATTAGTGGTCGTCAGTGGGTGGACTGTCGATTTCCATCCATGCTATTACAATTAGAAGACGCCTGAAAATAATTCCATTTTATTTTCCAGTCTCTGGAAGCGTTTTGAGTGTAATTAAATTAGATCTGGAGACTAGATTCTAGGTCTAGATTCTAGATGAACTCGATTTAAATAGGCTAGTCAAGATCCATACATATACCTCAAATACGTGCATCTTTTTACTGCTGCACTGTCTCTGGTGTCGAATGGTTTTTAAACGCAAGTGACGACTTATAAAAAAAAAATTAGCTGCTTTAGATCTTGATCTAATCTAGATCTAGATGTAGATTTAGAATCTAGATCTAAATTCTTATTCTATCGTTAGCAAGATGCTGACTAGTTTTGACTCTGGTGAATGGGTTGATGTTCTGTAGCCGTCCATAACAAAGCACATTTCTGAGAACAACACACACATGTAAATAATTTGCATTCATGTCAACAAAGCCAACTCAAGATTCTGTGAAAATGGTGAAACAGGCAGATGTTCCTCGTACATATGACCCTGATGGACTGCGGAGACGCGCAGCATGTTTATGTTTCAAAGACAGATCGGAAAAAGAGGTAGGTTGTAAGCCTAGGCTAATTAGTCAATAATGTTACGCAGTGGCTACGTTCACGGCGCCTTAAATGCAGTTTGCAGGTGCTGTTGAGGCTATGTTCATGGCATTAAAGCTTCATTTAGGGGGAGTTCCCACTGCCGAGTCAGCCGGTTTTAGTCAGTGACAACAGTGACGTATTTTGGCCAGCTTCAATTGTTCCATCCCGTGAGATGAAGGAAAACGAAGCGCCCTTGAAGAATTAAAGTCGGGATATATGGAAATTTTGCGGTACATATAATGGGAACAAAAGGTGAGAGATGGGAAGCAGAAGGTGGGATTCAGAAGATGAGACTGGTCATAAAATGTGTACAAATGACTATTGCACCGGGTCAGCCTGGACAACTTTACCCCTCCCCTTTCTCTCTTTCTCCTCCTCAACTGTTACCAGTTC